CCGCTCGCTGCCTTACCCAGGTGCAGCGCTGCGTGGGAGCACTGGCCACGGGGAAACCCCAGGCCGGGCCGGAGATGGACCCCAGCCTCCCACTGGGAGAGTGTGAGGGTCCCTGGCAAAGCCCCTCTGAAATGGCAGCACACCACCCTCCTCCTCCAGCCCCAGCTCTGAGCAGAAAGGCCTGAGGGGACGTGACGGCTGCACGTATCAATCCCACACCGCTCGCAGGCAAAGGTGCACCCGGGAGCACTTTTGTCCCCAACAAGGGCACCCTGGATTACAATGGGTGCCAGCGCTGGGCTATCCTGACAGAGCCAGGACCCGCTCTCCATGGGATGCTCAGGAGGAGCCCGGCTCCAGCCGGCCGCAAGCCCCCAGCCCCATCCCCACTTGTACCCTACACCCGCTCCGGGAGCTCGTGCTGGGGTGCAGCTGGTGTCCCCGCAGACCAACACCACACCGTGAGCCCAGACCCACACTCAACTGGCAGCGGAGACGTCTCGGTCAGTGAGGCAGCACCCATGTCCCTGTTCCCGGCAGGCAGCAGCCCCCAAGCACCCGCTCTCCCCACGCGCCATCAACAGCAAACCCCGGCGCAGGCGCAGCCCTTCCACGGGCCGATACCCTTATTAGCTGTAGAGACAAAACCTCGCTCTGACTGCGTTAAAAAAAAAATCAAATACTAACCACAGCTTTCCCCTGAATCTCAAGTACGGTGCTTTGAAGGTGTTGAGATCAGAAACATGGTCACTTAAATTTGGTTTCTTATTATTTTAACATGGGGACTTCCCTGTATAGAAGGTAAAATTAGACAACCAGTAATATTAAAAAAGTTCCAGAGCTCTTGGGATTCTGCTAATAGCCAGATCGCTGCTTCTTATACAGAATTGGCACAAACCTTGTCACAAAAGCTTATTTCCTAATTACAATTGTTTGTACTAAATTTAAAACTGCTTTATAGACAGTGTGTTACTGGAAACCACTTCATTCACGGATTTCTTCCTGTTTCCTGAGCCCTCATCTTCTGATGTGAGAAATGAAACGGAGCTTGTAGATCCGACTGCTGGCGCTGGGTTAGAGGACAGCGAGACGCAACGTGTAACGCGGTGATACGCTGCTTAGGGTTTCCCATAGGTGTCAAGAAGCAGAGTTTTAGAAGAAAAATCCAGGAGGAGTGCTGACGAACAAGCTGAGTTTATGGACTTGAGCTGAGCAAGAACGCAGTTTTGAGAGATGGACTACTTCCGCTGGCCTCAGGCTGGAGAGCTGGTGGCAGCGCTTTGCAGCACCGCACCGCTGCTTCGGAGTGAGAACAGCACAGAGGGGACTTGGGCCGATGGATCGCAACCGAGGTTATGGAAAACAAAGCACTGGAGGTTGAGTTTCTTGGGAGAATGGAGTATCCTCTTTTCTGTAGTGCTGCACCCAGAACTAGTACCCAAACCTCCTAGAAATAAAAAGCTGAAGGAACACCACCCTCATTTTGTTCAAAATGTAATTCCGATTTTTCATAGTTTAAATTTAAGCTTAATTCAATCCAGAGCCAAGGGAGGCTGTGCGTATGTCACCGATGGCGAATTGCTGTGTGAGCAGTACTGCGTGCCCTAATAGTTGTTGCAAAAAAAAAAAAAAAAAAATCACAAAAATGAACATCTGCCCTCTTCCTTAGCAGCCTGTCACCAAGAGCACAGATACGAAAAGACATGAAGGAGAAAGGGTTCAAGTTAGATGTGGAAAACTTGAAATCCCGAGGGAAAAATACTGGCCAGCAGCTGCAGACAGAGGTGCTGGACCTCATCTGACATTTGGTGGGTACCAGGGTGAGAAAAGCCGGGGTGCCGCACCCGAGGAACGCCAGGCTCCACCACGGATGAAAACTGAAGAGAAGGGAACGTCCCACGGTGCAGGACGGGCTTTTAAAGTTCAGTAACAACACGGGGAACAGATCACCACAACGGGTGGGGATGCTACTTCATCACCACAAAGCCTCTTTGCTGGAACAAAAAAATATTCAGCGCTCTGGTAAGTTGTTATAATTTTATTTATTGACTTGTTTATTAGTACAGCCAAAGCTTTTTAGGGCATTATCACTCAAGAGAGATACACCCCATGTATTACTGGTTTGAAAATGAGTGAGATTTTCATACACAGTCAACATCTTAAAAGTCTGCTATCTGTTAGGTCTATATATATAGATCATTTTTTAATATAAAATTGATATTTGGAAGATATAAATATTGGTGCAATTATTTTGTCCGTCTAATTTCTCTCTACTGGCTATAACTCCAAATGTTTGAGACCACAAAGAGACTTCAGCGTCGAACGCTGGTGCACCCATCGGCATTCATGCGC